TGGAGAAGACTCGAGAGTCCCTTGGACTGCAAGGAGATCAAGCCTATCAATCCTAAGGGAAATCAACCTTGAATATTCATTGGAAGGATTTCAGCTGAAGCTGAAGCTCCAAAACTTTGGCCACCTGATGCAAAGAGCCAATTCATTGGAAAAGACCCTGATGCTGGGAAAGAATCAGGGCAGGAGGAGAAGGAGAGGACAGAGTATGAGATGGTTGGATGGCATCATAGACTCAGTGGACATTAGATTGAGCAAACTCTGGGGATGTATAAGGACAGGGAAGCTTGGCGGGCTGCAGTCCATGGGGTCGCAAAGAGTTGGACACGACTAAGCGACTAAACAACAATAACAACCAGGTCCTGTGGAATTAAGGGTGGGGGCAGTTCTGGCTCTGAAGGCTTAGGTTGGGAAGATGTGTTCCCCTTTTTTCCCCAGAGCAGCTGCAGGTTTTCCTTCCACAAGGAAGAGGAGAAGTAAAATTTGGGGATATACCTACATCTCCCTAAAATTCAAAAGCAAAATGAAATGACATTGATGAATCGTGCTGAACACTCTATCTGAGCAGATTTAACAGCTGGCAGTTACAGATTACTCTGGGTGTGTGTGTGTGTGTGTGTGTGTGTGTGTGTGTGTGTTCAACTATTCATGAATGATACCTCAGTCTACGATGTGGTGACATTAACTCTGCTGAGCTGCATGTCTGAATCTCATGCATGAAGACAGTAAACAAGAGTTACTCTGCTGGTGAGCACAACCAGTGGTATAACTCAGCATCCTCTACCCAGCTTCATTGTTCCTGACATGCGACAGAATGTGTACTGATTCGTCCAGTGAAAAACTGTACTAAAACTAAAGGGAATGTCTAAAATCAGCGAGAAAACTGAAAAGCGATTGAACAGGTCTAGAAATTTTAGAGGAAGGTGACAATTTCTGAGAAAATAATAATGAACAACTACATCAACAAATAACGAAGCTTTAAAAGGGAAATAAAATAGGGTGGTATTTAGGGGTTCCCAAAGAGAACTTATCTCTGTTAAACATCAAAGATTTACATACTAAATGATATAGTTCATGGTACTAATATTTGTAGTCTTCTGTATATATTTATATTTGGCTCATATGTATGGATTTCCTATAGTAACCTGATTCACTTTAGGGATCATGTGATTGCTGGTGAAGGGTATGCTGAATGCTGACCCAATACCCATTGGTCAAGGACCCTCCAAGCTAATAAAATTTTCACAGGACCTGAGACATCTTTCTGGGACAAGGATCTTAGCCTCTTCAGTCCAAAGTATCACAGACCAAAAAGAAAGGCAGAAAGGAACAGCGAGGAATGGAGGGAAATCACTATCAAATAGGTTTCTGACTGAAATGTGAAAATGACACTGGAGACCAGAAGCTGCCAGAAAAGACTGGAGTTGTCTACCGCTCCCCTCAAGACTCTAAATGCTAAACTGCCCGTTCCTGTGGGCACAACACTTGTTTAATCCTGAGAACAGACAGGCTAAACCCAGTTTTAAAGGACTGGCATATTTCTGGCCTGTCTTCCATAGGATTTTAGATGTTAACATCTCCAGCCACATGATTACACAAACACATACACTTATACACATCTAAGTCTCAGTTACAGGACAGTTCAGCACAGCTGATATTACCTGATAGTCAGCCGCCCTTGACAGCTGCTGGTTTGCTTGCTGGACGTGCACCTCGGCATTCTCCACGTTGGCTTCTATGCTGTCTTTAGAATAAAACACACAGACAAAACTGTTAAACAGGTGCTGCCGTGCTAGTCATAGAGCTGTGCAAATCACCTAATTTTATTCATGGTTAAGATTAAATACATTCATTATTCAAAGATTTATATGCGTACAGCTGAATTTTCTTTTAGCAACTGTATTTCTCAGGTGCCTCAAACAATACAGAAACAATGTGAAGAAAATGAACTTGATTACCTTCATTGCCACGTACTCCAGTTCTACTTGGTAAACCCCAAAAGTACTGTCACCAAGTTTGCATCCTGTGATGGCCAACTCAGTACCAAGCAAAGCATTCTGAGCTTTGCTTCAGGGGAAATAGGGAGGCCTGAAAACCGTCATCTGCTCAGGGGCCAGCATCAACCTCCTTCTGTGCTGGAAACTGAGGCTCCCTGAGAGTCCCCACAGCCTTCTCCAGTGGTGACAGGTTTCCTTCCTCCCCTCCTCCGAACTGGGGGTAGAACATCCTGCATCTGTAGGATGGATGGCCACTGTCTCCTCCTCCTCCCTGTCGACGTCAGAGCTCACGCCTACCTCTGTCACTCCGCAGGGCAGCGGGTATCCCAAGATGTCTTTTCTTCTTTTTCCTTGACTGTTTTAGTCCCTGCTCCACTGATGTTCTCTTCAATGCTTCTACTATTATCCATATTGGTGATCTCAATGTCCAGCTGCTGACCCTCAAATACCCAGGCCTCTCAAATCTCTGAACACGCATTTTTTTCATTGACTTTGCCTGTGATGCTTTCTGAGATCTACTTCCATGGTCACATTCCAAACCTGTCATGACCAGCAACTGCAGCTTCTCTATAATCTCCAATCCAGGTCTCACTCTCCGATCACCACCAGGTACCTTGCGAGTTCTTTCCTTCTAAGACCCCAACTTTAGCGACCCTACCCCTTTTCCATGGCCCCTTACATACTTCACATCCTCACCTCCCTCTTCCTTACGTTCGACTCCATGGACAGTCATTTGCCACTGCTTTCTTGCACTCATCGTCAGCCCTCGTTCCCCCTATTGCAGTCACACTTAGGTGACAAAACCCCAACCTATTCTGTGCCGCTTTATGTGGGTACAAAAAAGTCACCAGGGCTGACTTATTTCACTTTAAATTCTTGACTGCAGGGCACTTTGCCCCATCTCCCCAACTCCTGGAAGGTAAGTTACACTTTCTCCACGAACTTCCCATGCCTCCTCACTCTGTCATTCTCCACCAGGGGCCTTATTTCTAGATCACTGAGACAACAGGAGCAATCAGAAGACACTCCCACAATCTCCTCTGACCCCACCCACTACCACATGCAACCATCTCTGTGCCCAGTGGGACCCATCTGTGCTCAGCGACGGCCAACCACTCGGTGCGTGCGTTTGATCCCATTCCTGCTGCCTAGCTCAACAACCTCAGGCCAGCAATTGCTTCCCTCTCACACTCAACACTTCTTTCTCATCAATCCTATTGCTGCCATCTTAAACACAAGCCAACCCTCAAATCTCTCCTTGATGCCACATCCACTGGTGGTTAGGACCTCACGTGACTCCTAGAAGAAGCTGTCTCCATTTGCTATCTCCAGTCACTCTCCTCCCGGTCTGTCTGGAACCTACTTTATCGTGCTTTTACCTGCACGATTTCACCAGCACAGCTCTCATCTGAGGTCATCTATGCCCAACATGTTGTTGAATTCAGCAGTCAACTCTTAATCCTCAGCTCACCTAACCCAACAGCAGCATCTGAGAAAGCAGAAGGGTCATCACCCTGAAATGCTTCCTCCACACCATCCTAAAACTGTACACTCATGTGGTTTTCTTCTGCATCACTGACTAGTCTTTCTTGGTCATTTTTGTTGGTTCCTCCTTGGCTCTCTAGCCTCTAAATCAGAGATCGACAAACTTTTTCCTTGTGCCAGATAATAAACACTTTAAGCTTTGCAGTCCTTTCTTATGGTTTCTGTCATACATACTCAACTATGCCTCTGTGTACAAAGCCTGTTGTAGACAACACATAAATGAATGGATGCAGTTTGCTGACTGTGCTCTAAATATTTACAAGTCCTTAGAACCTCCTCTTGCTCAGTTGTGTCACACTCTTTGTGACCCCATGGACTGTAGCCTGCTAGGCTCCTTCTGTCCATGGAATTCTCTGGGCAAGAATACTGGAGTGGGTTGTCATTCCCTTCTCCAGGGGATCTTCCCAACCCAGGGATCAAACCCAGCTCTCCTACACTGCAGGCAGACTCTTTACTGAGCCACCAGGGAAGCCTCTCTCTTCTCTCTCTCATTTCCCAGGTGATCTTACCTAATCTCATGGCTTTAAATACCATCCATATGCAGATGATGCCCAGATTTAAGACCCCAGCCCAGACACCTCCCCTTCCCTCACGTTCCCAACCCAACAGTCCAAGTGGGCCTCTTAAAACCCAGGTCAGATGATCATGCCCTTCTGCTCACACCTTCCTCTGGCTTCTCCTCTATTAACACAAAAACTGCTCTCATGATGGCTCAGGGGCCCATGTGATCTGGTCCTGTGTGACTTCGGACACTGTCTCCATCCTCCGCGTGCTCACTCCCTTTACTTAAAATGTCTGGCATGCTTCTGCCAAAGGCCAGGGCACCTGCTGTTCCCTCTGCCTGGCATCTCTTCTCCTGCTGGCTTCCTTACTCCCGTGAAGTCCTCACTAAAACGTCACCTGCCCTTACTGATTCCACGCTGAAAAGCAGCGTCTTCCCCAGTACCTGCTGTCCCACCCCAATCTGGCCTTATTTTCCCCATAAACACTCATCACCACTTACTTTTCTTTCTGTTCTAACTGTGTCTCTCCTCCAATTAGATTATAATATCTTTTATTTGTTGTTTAATTTCAGCTGAATCCTCAATGCCTAGATTTATGCCTGAATGTAGTCGGCACTCACTCAATAAATATTTATTGGATGAATGAATGGTTTCTAAGTTTTACCCTGTGATCTACTGGGACTACAGAAGAGGGTAAGAATAGAAAAATAATAATTAAACTATAGGTTCAAGTATTTAAACTACACCAAATTCAGAAAACATATTAAATGTATCTTTAGTATACTCACAAATATCTTCATACTTAAAAATGATAAAGAAGATCAGAATCTTGATCAATGCTTATAATTATATCCTATATGAATTACAATTACATTTAAAATTTAAAGGAAGTCTTACAGAGTTTATAAAAAAGAATTAAAAGAATTCTCAGTAATTAAGTAATACTACTAAATTAATATGCTAAAAAAGTTATGAGAATGACTGTTTAGGCAAATGGCTACTTATTCCCTCTACGTGAGAAGAGAAGACAGTGTGCACGTTATGAAAAGACATTTTCTCCAAAGTCTTGGTGTGATGAGAATTAAACTGGGGATAAGATAGAAACCAGAGGTCCTGGGAATGAGCTAGCATGATGCTACATGGAACCTTCCATGATCTCAGCAGCAGCAGACCCTGATTAAATTTGGGACTTCTTAAATATATGAAATTGGTCACTTCAACCAGTAGGAGCCAAAAATGATATCTGTTTCAGATAATGCCAAGGGTGGTGCTTTGTCTGTTGTAGACATGGTACTTTTGACTCCAGGAAGACCCAAAGAGAGAAAAGGAGGTAAGTTACTCTGGCTTGAGAAGTTACCACAGGGAAACTGCATGTGGCCTGCTTCCACCTCATGAAATTTCACATGTAGGGCTTACCTATTACATCGCCTTGCTCGTGAATCATCATTCCCAAATCTTTAAATATTTCATTAATATCCATAATATCAGCCTAAGAGAAAAAAGTACATTTTATTATAATCGGAAATTCAATCCCCACTCCACAAAGGGGGAAAATTTTTTAAAAACCCAAACCACTACTCATAGCTAGGTGATCATGCATCTGGACTTAATAACATACATTTTGGGCCTATGAGAAAACTATTTGACTATAGGCAATCCCAAGTAAGTAGACTCTGAATAACAGTAACCATTTCTCTAAAACAAGTTTGTAATGTTAAAAATATCAGGTGATTTGGAATGGAAATGAACGATATATGTAATAGAGAAGGGTGGTGCGTTATTGAATTTACACCATGCAATATGATTAGTCTTGTTATCACAAGCAGTATTTCCTCAAAAACATTGAGAATATTCTAGTAAAAATTTATATGTCAATTTGACACTTAGGACTGTGCTGGGTCTTTTTATGGCACGTGGGCTTAATTTCCTCACAGTGTGTGAGACCTTAGTTCTCTGATGAGGCACTGAACCTATGTTTCCTGCACTGGTACGTGGATTCTTAACCACTGGACTACCAGGGAAGTCCCTCGATTTGACACTTTAAAAGAATAAAACATGAGGTGTAAATTCAAATTCTCAAATTAATAAACTTGAATACACAATGGAATAGTGATGAATAAATAAGTTATAAATTTAATTTTCTTTAATATATAACTACTATTTTGCCTGATTAAAGAGTAACATGTAAATACTTTATTCAGGAAGAGTGGGGCGATTTACACATTCATCCTAGAACTTGGCTTTCTCATCTGTAAAATGGGGAGTAATAATAACACAGTTAAGTTGCTTTTATGAAAACTAAATGAGACAATACGTACAATTTATCACATAGTGCTTGATGGATGGAATCCATCAATAAATGGTAGCTATTGTTAGCTATTATCAGGTCACTTTCCAGGGAACCGGTAGGTTCCCTATGAACTAAGGTTATAAACCTTTCAGACCTCTTTGATATCCTACATGTACTAAAGGGAAATAAAATGCGTTTAAAGCCCTTGGAATAAATCTGATTCATGCAGGTGTGGTGTGTATTATGTGCCATGGAAGCCATCCAGACTCTCTGAACAGAGCTTTTTCTCTCGAGTGTTATTTTTTTCTCTGTTGTGATGTGTTTTCAGAGTTTTTTAAAAAAAAGGAAGAAAATTTGGAGTGGAGGGGAGTATATTTTCTCATCCTAGCACAATTTCTAAAGAGATTACTCTTTTTAAAAGCAATGATTCTAACTTATATGAGAAATGCCACCAAATTGATATTTATTTAGTTTTCTCTCTTGACCCTTCTCCCAGCATCACCTAAGCATCTTGAGAACAAGCTCACTAAGGAAGGCAGTTCAATCCTACAATGTAAAGCTTACTTCGAGTTGCCTGATAGAAGACTCTCTCTCCTGAATAAGGCGCAGGTCATCCTCTGTAATTTCTTCATCCTGCAACTGAGCCTGAGGCTGAGTTTGGCTATTAAAAAGAAAGGACTATGTAAAAAAAAAGAAAAACCGGTACGGAAACAAGGGCGCTTCCTTCTTATTACAGAAATACTTATTGAACAGAACATTTTTGCCTGAAAGTCACAGAATTGCTCACTTAAATTCTAAAAGTATAACAGAAATGTTAACCAAATTTTATTCATTTTCATTTCAATGATTTTTTTTAGAGTTATTACTTAATTATTGGAAGCTATTACATCTGGCAAGTCAGTATTTCTTCTTGGTTGACTTAAACCTCACACACGGGAATAATCTATATCAAAAATAATCTTAATCAAAAATTAAGTCAATAATATTTATTTGGATAAATAACTACTTAAAGAGTATTATTAGTATACTGGACTGTTTTTATATATTTTATAATAATTATTTAAAAATTTTTTCAAATGTATTGTTTTCTATTTATAAATAACTTAGGAATCATGATATAATATACTGAAAACTAATTTTGCCCAAGACCATGATGTAAAAAACAAATACGAAAAATAATCTTTTACTTGGTATACTGTTTTATACTTCTTACCTTTCCCAGGATACAAGATTCCTTTCTTTTGAGCTCTCCTCAGGAAAACCGCCCTGAATAATTTAGTAAGAGAATGGATTGAGAAGGCACAAAGGAGAAGCACACAACACTCATATTTTCCTTTATAATAATTTAAACCAATTTATGTCCACGCTGGAGGAGAGGTGTAAGAAGAGAGAAAGGTTCTTGTTCTAATATTTTAAGTCAATTACTTTAAGCAATAATAAAACTATACCCTAAGCTGATATGGAAGGAATTCATCAAATATTCTCAAGAGCCAAATAATAAGTATTATTTGATTAAAACAGAATGTAGCCTTAGAACCTCTACATTAAGGAACAAGGAAACACGATAGTTTCCAGGGAGATTTAAAATTAGATTCAATTAAAATTCCACTCTAACCTATCCTTCCATTTATCTTCTCCAGGTCTAAGTTCATTTTCAATATTCACACAATATATTCACTCTGTTCATTTCAAATCATCTTCATATAACCCAGGAGTAAAGAGTCTTCTACTCCAGAAGGAATACAAAGTAACAGCCTCAGGTGCAAATCAGGATTTGATTCCTAATCTTCTCTGACAGAACGTTTCCGTATTTTTATATAATCTGTAATCTTTTGTTTCATGACATGGACAGAATAACCACAATAATACGCAATTATCATCCTTTTAAAAACTGAGCAGAAACTCCTGAAAATAAATATTCAACACTGATTTCCAAGATATTCATAGGTCTTTAAGACTCAAAAACCATGCCATGTAGTTTGTACAGGATCCCTGGGAATACCGTGTTCAGCTTTACATGCCGTTTTAAATACTCACAGATACTCTGGAGCTGGCTCTTACTCGAGCAACAAATTCTTTCTCTCTCTCAGCTGCCTGCCTCTGCACCTTCTGAAAGTTTGTCAGCGATGTTGTGAATTCAGCCACTAAGCGATCCTTCTGTATTTTCCTTTGACGCTAGAGAGGCGGGGAAAAGAAACCTGCTAGAATCAAGCTGTGAAGTTCTGTAGAATTTGCAAAAGCTGTTTTGCTAGTAGCTGGCTCTTTATTTAATTTTGAAAATTTCACTCACTCTATTACAGAGCCTTACTGATTAACACTCAATAACATTTTGCTCAATTTGATAATGTGTTCAAACAAATATATAATGTGTTCAAACAAACACTGTGCATATTTATCTTGAGGCAAAGGCCCATAATGTTGGATTTTTCACCCTCAAGTTTTCATCCTAAAAACTAGGCCACACTTATAAAGTAATTCCTCTTCTTCTTTATTTTAATGGAAATAAAACCTTTGATTCACCTAAGTAATAACTTCCACTAAGTAAGCAGGGTAATAAAAACGGGTGCCCCGAGGAAACCTCACATCTTGAATGAGCATGCAAGTTGCATGAAGTCAGTCCTGGAAGGCCAGGAAACAATTAGTCAGGAAGCATTTTCTGAGCACTTATTTAATTATGGGTCAGGACAACTGCATGGAAATAATTTTTGCTTTACTGAACCACAGGATACTACCTGAGCAGTTAAATACAGTTTTGTTTTTTTTGACTTATTTTCAATTTTTTTTTCCCCCAATTTCCTTTCTAGTACAAAGATCAGTTCAAAGATCCTACAACGCATTTGATTCCTTTCACATTCAGTACATCAACACCGTGTCTTAAAGCTTCATACCTGGTCACTGGGGGTGGTGGGCAGAGATCCAAACTCTTTAATGTACTTATCTGTTTCTTTGGCAAGTTGGTTCGTATACTGCTGCTTCTGCTGGCTAAAGTGAGAAAACACGCATCACAGTTAAAGAACTAAGGTATTTCTTGAAACTATAACTCTGCCACTCGATTCAACCCTGATGAACAGTTTTAGAAAAATCACTTTTTTTTAAGAAACTGGCTCAAATTTTCTCTATGAAAACAAAGTTCTCAGGTTCTATAAATATTGAGTAAATACTATGTGGAAGGTGCTTTACTCACATATGGAGATAACCAAGCTTTGAGAAATAAATATCAGCAGCTATTTAGAAAAGAAGATGACTAAAGCCAACGAGAGATTGTAAAATGTCTAATGTTTGAGATCCGGCGGATGTGGGGGCTTAAAACGCTGTCCTGTTCTCAGGGTACAGCCAGCCTCTCTCATTTCTCTACCTGGGTATTTATATCCTATAGAAACTATATTAAAAAAGAAAGAGCAGAAGTCACAATGATTAATAGTACAAATTTACTAGTATTTATGTTCACCATAGGAAAAAAAATGATAGCACCTCTCTGTAAAAAAGAAACCAAACACAGTGAAAGAGATAAATTACATAGTTACCTGTTTCTATCTTGCTAACTAGCTTATAAAGTGAAAAGTAAGATCTATAACTAAAGAAGTTGACACTTAAAAAAAGCTTGTATTCATGTGATGTTTTACAGGCCACAACATCAGTACTTCTCATATATATCATCTCTCATTTTATTTATTTTTTTGCTTTTTAAAAAAAATAATTTATTTTTTATTGAAGAATAATTGCTTTATAGAACTTTGCTGTTTTCTGTCAAACCTCAACATGAATCAGCCATAGGTATACATACATACCCTCCCTTTTTGAAGCTCCCTCCTATCTCCCTCCCACCCCACCCCTCTAGGTTGATACAGAGCCCCTGTTTGAGTTTCCTGTGTACTGGTCACACTTTGGGTCCTTTAAAATAATGAGAAACTATATGATAATATTGGAGAAGGCAATGGCACCCCACTCCAGTGCTCTTGCCTGGAAAATCCCATGAACGGAGGAGCCTGGTAGGCTGCAGTCCATGCGGTCACTGAGAGTCCGGCACGACTGAGCGACTTCACTTTCACTTTCATGCATTGGAGAAGGAAATGGCAATCCACTCCAGTGTTCTTGCTGGAGAATCCCAGGGACGGGGGCCCTGGTGGGCTGCCGTCTATGGGGTCGCACAGAGTCGGACACGACTGAAGCGACTTAGCAGCAGCAGCATATGATAATATCTTTTAGTATATAGGTATCTATATTTGCCTGATGAGGAATTATACCACACTTATATATGTTTACCAAATGCCCTATCTTTATATGCCTTTTACAAATCTTTATGAAAAGTAATAAAATTCTAAAAAGAAGACTTAATGATATCCACATATTCAGAATCTCCACTCTTAACCTTAGCAAAATATTGTTAACTATTAAGAATTATGGCTTCTGTTCTATTTTACTTTATTTTAATAAATGGTGGTTTATTATTTAGATTTAGGATGTGTTTATCCCCCTGATATCTATCCACTGCAGAAAAATGCAATATTAATTATAAGACAACTATAAATTCCTCAAACTGTACTTCACAAAAAATATGAATTATTATTACCTATCTTTTAATTTCTTCTTTTTTGCAACTTTTCCTTCTTTAGCTAATGTTTGGCATTTCATTTATTACATATTTACTACTTGAAATTTGTAGCTGGCAATAGTGCTAAATTAACATTTAAAAATGATTCAGGTTTAGAATAATGTTGGGCAAACCATCAAACCCCAAACAGAAATGTCTTCCTTATAAGTAAAATGGAAATAGTTCTTTTGATCTACTTAGATCACTGCAATTTTGTAAGGTTTTATGAGAAAAGGTATAAAAACACACTGTAAAATCTGTAACACCACAAAGTATTGTTGCTGTTGTTCTATAGCATATTACTCAAATATGTAAGTACATTATTTGATTATATCTTTTATTTTTCAAACAGAGGCTAATGTTTGCTGAAATTCAAGGATGTAAAGATAAACTTTGCGGGGGCATAGTTCATACTGGATGTTCAATGAAATCTAAGCGAAATAAATAAAAATCATCACAGGGATTGTTAGCTATGAGAAGTGACTCACACAGGGAGAAGCTTAGAGTACTGTTTTTCTAAAGCCATCAGAAACAACCTATTAAAAAGTATTAGGTAACCAAAGAAGTTCTGCTTTGATAGAGAAAGCCAGATCTTTAAAATAAAGAAAAACAGCTGCCCACTTTGGACAGGGAAAAACTTACACAAAATCTGAGTACAAATGAGGCAGCAGAAAAAAAGTATTAATTTTTCATTGTTTTCTCCAATAAATATAACACTACACACTATCAAATGAACATAACAATAGGTGGTTTTCCCTCTTTATTTATTTTCTTTTTGATGTTTAATTAAATACTTACAGCTGTTGCCTCAATTCAGGTGAATCTTGAGGTGTTCCAAGTTGATTCAGAGTCCTCTGTATTTCCGCAGCTATTATGATAGAAAGTAAATGTATAGTAATTATTACAAACGTTAGGCCATTAGAAATTAAGTTAGAAGTTAACACAAGCAATAGGACAGTTAGAAAAAGACAGGAAAAACAAAGAGATAAATATAGAAAATATTAGTTGAGAAAAAAAAAATCAATGGTTTATTCAAATCTAATTAGTGACAATGAATTGTGTGGGTACCTTAACATGTGAAACTGTAACTATGATCCAAAAATACTATCTTCTTCCCTATTCCATCAGGACATTTGGTACAATGGCACATGAACTGTCATGTAAATTCTACTGGCACAAAAATTGTGAGGAAAATATGATTCACTGGGATATAAAGTGAATGAATTACAGTTAATAAATGAATGAAGAATAACAAAATTAGAATAGTCATTTTTCAACTGTCTATGTAATAAGCAAATCAAGCAAGAACAAAGGATGCTAAAACCATGGGAATACTCACATGACCTTAAATTATCATCACATAGATGTCATTAACTTGGGCTAACTTTATAGAAGATTAATCTGTTGCTTACAACAAATGACCAAATTTAGGATAACCAATTGTACAAACTAGCATTATGAGCCTCCTGACATGATGCAACAAGAAAGTCACAAAATGACCTATGTATTTTTCTTGCCAAAATATTTAACTGGAATCTATAAGCAAAGGAGCACACACCACACACAATCATGAGAAAGAAATCAGACCAATCTAGATTATGTGATAATCTACAAAATGACTGATCTGTACTTCTTAAAATATTAATATCACAAAAGAAAAAAATATATAAAAGCAGGAAGCTTTCTAAATTAAAAACACAAAATACTTTCTAAATTAAAAACATAAAATAACACCCAGTATACAATTTTTGACTGGCTTCTAATTCAGGAAAAAAAAAAAAAAACCTACAAAAACTATTTTTAAAAAGTTGTAGAGACAACCAGAGAAACCTGAATTGAATCTGGAGAGAGAAAGACTAAACTAAAGTTGAAAAATGCCAACAACTGGTGAACCCAGGTAAAGGGTATATAAAAAGATCACTGTACTATACTTTTACTCTTCTGTAGGTTTTAAATATTTCATGCTGAGTTCCCCACTCAGAAGTCTACCACTGTAATAATAGTAATAAAAAAAAAAAAAAAGGCTCTTTACAAAGGGGAAGGTTCTAGCTTTATGCATTTATGTACACAAATAAAATGTCAAGCAGAGATAAGTTGAATATGCATCTCAAAGTAAAGAACTTTCACATTTCCAAGAACTAGGGAAAAATGATCCAACCCACCCATTCTTTTTCATTTAAAAGAAGTCGTTTATTTATATAGCTTAAATGCTTTTAAAAAGTCATTGTTTATTTATGGGATCAAGGGAATGATTGTATTCCAAAACACAGGATTACTTTTGTTCAGTCAGGATGATGTAATGAATATTGCTTTCAAGTCAAAGATGGAAAATATAAATACTGGAGAGGAAATATATAGCAACTGTTAACCATTCAGCTAGTTACAAAGGAATTTCTTTTTGCTTTTTTTGGTAATAGATGTTTTCTTTTGTGAGGTGAGAAACTTTGCTGTTTTAAACTTATGGTTGCTTTGTACAATAAGTTATATATTTCCTTCTCAACCTTAGTGGATTCTCCTAGGCTACCTTATAGGGGTTTAAAGCTTTCACTCTTGGAAAAAGTATGCTGGTAAGACAAACTGATGCAGACATTTATCGTTATTTCGAGAGGATTCTTGTCTTTTAAAAAGGCCATGGTAAGTGAAAAAAAAAACCAGACTGCTCAATAAATGACATGAGGAAAACTGACCAACCATTTGGGGGTTAAAACAGAGAACTCAATGTAACCTCATGAAGCAAAATAAATCTGTAAAAAATTAATAATTTAAACATTAAAAATGGAAACTATTAAACTTCTACATAAAACTATAAAAATGTACCTATTACACAATCTTATTTATGATTTTGGAACAGGTACAAAATATTATCCAAGTATAACACAAAACTAAGAACCATGAAGGAAAATATTATCAAACTGGCAAAAAATACACAAAAATTTTAAATGTTATATGAAAAATATGTATCTTTATTACAAATCCATACAAGTAACATATGTGTGTGTGTACGTGGGAGAAAATGCCTGCAGCATACGATAAGTAAAGGGGTTAATATTCTTAGTATAGAAAAAAAACTTTTAAAAGTTGGAAATATAAAAATAGTCCAATAAAAAAAGGCAAAAGGTATCATCTTAAAATAATTACAAGCAAATAAACATATGAGAAGTTCAACTTCATTGACAATAAACTTTTCATATATCAGATTGGAAAAACTCAAGAAAAATGAGTGGATGATAATATAATCACAAGTGAAAGTCTTCATAAAGACATAGGGAGGAATAATATCCATCATGTAGAAAGAATCAGAAATAACTGAGGAAAGGTCAGACAAACCAGTACAAAAGTAGGCCAGGAACAGGACCTTTAATAATATTCACTGAAAACATGAAGAGCAAAAAAAAAAGAAAGAAAAAAAGACTGAAAAGTGTCAATCCTAGAAAGGATAAATAATTCTAATGCATGAATGCTATATAAAATTGTTTGGCCATTAAAAAGAAATTAAGTAGACATGCTTCTGATAGACCCAGTGGGAAGGAGCCTGAGTCCACCAAATGGCTATTGCCCTGGTTTTTGTAAACAGATACTCAGCAACCCCAGTCTCCATCCTTTCTCCCAGAGAAAGGACTCATATGCAAAGGAGGACACAACTGGGAGCCCAGGGCTCTACGCTTCAAGAAAACAGAAGATTATCAGCCACACCTCTTCTTGGGCACTGCCCAGAAATGTCAGGAAGACCTGACGAGCTGAGAGCTGCGAAGCCTCTCCTACTCCCATTTGCCTGGTTTGTCCAGAGGATGGGGAAGGCAAACATTAAGGATGGGGAAGTAAGGATGGCTAGCACAGGCTTCTTTAAATGGTGACTCCCATTGTGATGCTCCTCAAAATGTGATCTATTTGCTAGAATACATCATCAAAATCGTTGGTGCCTTGTACAAACCTTCTGATACGGTAAACACTTTTTGCTCTATCCTAAAAAATAGAAAACAAGAGGAGTATGCTTTCAGCTGGATGGGGTGGGTGGCAAGCCTTCAAAGTCTTATCTTAGGGTTATACACCCTCTTTATCACTGTACAAGTCAGGTGTCAAGATTATTGATCCTCTCCTCCTACAGGACACTACACTAGTGTCCAATACACTGCTTACACGTGCTTTTAACATCTGCAAAGTGAGAAGCCACATGTTCTCTTAGGTGCCTTGGAAGGACGGAAGTATGCCAGCAGATAGAAGATAAATTAATGCAGAGACCAGTTTCCTTAGTGAAGAATCTTGGTCCATTGATCCGTATGGATCACTGATACACTCCTACAGAGTAAATGACAAATTGCTTTTCTTTGCAGTCTCAAATACAAATGGGAAAATACAGCTTAGTGATACATATTTATATGGCTCTAATCCATTTTACTGAATGCCCTAAAAGGTTGCTGGCTCTGGCTTCAACTCTCCAACAGAAAAGGCTATTCTGCTAGTTCAAGTGGTGGCACAAGCAGTCCTACAACTTGGCTTCAATGACCTGCTTGATCCAATGGTAACTCCAGAACCTGTGCAATTTCAGGGTTCTGTATAAAACTAGTGGCAAGGTCCACTAGGAAAAAAACAACAGAAGTCCCTTAGATTCATTGAGCAAAACGACGCTCTTTGTCAAGCCAGTATTACCCTTTTGAGGAATAGTTCTAGTCTTACTACTGATTCTTGGATAAAAAGTAAACAGTGATATACCAGGTGACCCAGTGACTTGAGTTGCCTGCTACATACTAGGTGTTATGTTATCTTGATAGGTTCTTCCTTGGTGGCTCAGTCAGTAAAGAATCTGCCTGCAATGCAGGAGACCTGGGTTCGATTCCTGGGTCGGGAAGATCCCCTGGAGGAAGACATGGCTACCCACTCCAGTATTCTCGCCTAGAGAATTCCATGGACAGAGGAGCCTGGTGGGTTACGGTCTGGGGGGTTGCAAAGAGTCGGACACGACTGAGTGACAAACACTTTCACTATCTTGTTGGTGTATCTCTTTCTAGATTTTGTATGTTAGTCAACCTGCCTCACTCCAGCTTCTGCAGCACTTGTTCAGTGGAATAAACAACCAGCAATGGTTTAAGAATTAAAAACTACATACAAGCTTTGCCAACATGGACTTCCCTTTCCTCAGATTAACATGATTACCAACAATGCCATACCATTTTGCAGCCAACAGCAATCAAAAGCAAATATACAATGTGGCACCATTCTTGGGGGTTATGAGCCAGTCACGCAGTGGCAAGACAATTAGAGCCCTTCCATCTTGGCAGAGGTGGAGCTTTATATTGACTGAAATCGCAACACTATGGATTTTGTATACTTCTTCTACTGCCCTCCCCCCATGATCCCACCGGCTTCTGAATCCATGTATCAATCACAACCATTCTACCCACCAGTGCTCCTGATCAAGACACTCAATTTAACAGAGGAAAAAAAAAACAAAATATATATATATATATATAAAACAGAGCTTCCAAAAACCAAGAATTCCTTGGTCTGCCAGTACTCCTTTATCTGGAAGCTGCTGGATTTCTAGAATGTCTAATGGCCTTTTGAAGACCCAATTATGGGGTCACCTGAGAGACAGTATCTTGGGAAGCTAGACCTTTATGCTCGCAAAGACCCACTACACTCTGGTGCTGCTTCACCCATATCCACAAAGAAAACTCAGATTTAGGATCTAAAGTGTGAAAGTGAAGAGAAATAGTTCACATTCACATCGAATCACCCACTTGCAAACTTTCTTCCATCCCTTGGGATGATTTAGAGACAGTATTCACGTAAGGAGTGTAACGGGGCTCCACCTGAGCAGAGGCTGAGAGTCCATGGGCCACTTGGGGCCAGGGCAGAACAGTGTCCACC